TTAAGCCCATGGATCACAAGATATAATCGAAGTGGGCATCACCATAAAGAGAGCCCGGAGTGGTCACACCTTGGGATATGACTCGGAATCAAAGTCGGATGACTTGGGCCAAAAGGCGAAGCCCATGAAGATCGGAGTCAATTCAAATTCAAACGTTGGGCATTAAAAACTCGAAGACCAAAACGGACGCATTTAAGAGAGAATAATTATGTTTAATTGAGAGTTAAATGTCGTTTGTCAATATAAATAAGAGGGCTAATAGCCATGTAAAGGATACGCAATTTTTCTAGCAAATACACTATAATTATTTTCCATTTCAATTCATAGCTTTTTGTATCGTATTTTTGTCCTCAAGAGTATTCATTCCCACAAAATAAACAAATATTCAAGTGTGTGAATCCGACAACCACAACTACTATGATCACCTACAATGTTTCTTAAATTCAAAATTCCATCTGGTTCATTGTTACCTATTTCACGAGCTTGTTTCATGCACTTGCGTCTTTTGTCACGAGCTTCCTCAATGCACTTGAGTCTCTTGTTTGTATACTCAGCTATAGTCATTTCATCCTTGCTTGTGCCTGCAGAACTAGTATCATCACCAATGATGTTTAATGTTTCAGCTGATACAACAACACCCTTCTCCTTACTCTTACTCTTACAAGCTCTGCTTGTTTCATATCCATTAGCGCCTCCAGAAGCAAGTTTTTGATGAGGACTTGGTTTGTTTGTTGTTGTAAAACTTTTAAACTTAACCAAGTGTTAAATTTTCAATACGTGAAAACTTGCCGAACTTGTGACACCTCAAGACTTACGGACCTAAAGGACGGGATGGTAAGTCCGGTTTGTTTCTGACGTATTTAAATTTAACACTTAATTTTTAAAAGTTATATTTTATACAATTAAAAAAGTTTGGTTTAAAATAACATTAATTTTTAAAACTTTTAAACTTAACCAAGTGTTAAATTTTCAATACGTGAAAACTTGCCGAACTTGTGACACCTCAAGACTTACGGACCAAAAAAACAGGATGCTAAATCCGGTTTGTTTCCGACGTATTTAAATTTAACACTTAATTTTAAAAGTTAGATTTTATATAATTAAAAAATTTTTGGTTTAAAATAACATTAATTTTTAAACTTTTAAACTTTTAAACTTAGTATTAAAATTTTCAATACGTGAAAACTTGCCGAACTTGTGACACCACAAGACTTACGGACCAAAAGGACGGGATGCTAAGTCCGGTTTGTTTCCGACGTATTTAATTTTAACACTTAATTTTTAAACGTTAGATTTTATATAATTATAAAATTTTGGTTTAAAATAATATTAATTTTTAAAACTTTTAAACTTAACTAAGTGTTAAATTTTCAATACGTGAAAACTTGCCGAACTTGTGACACCTCAAGACTTACGGACCAAAAGGACGGGATGCTAAGTCCGGTTTGTTTCCGACGTATTTAAATTTAACACTTAATTTTTAAAAGTTAGATTTTATATAATTAAAAAATTTTTTGGTTAAAATTCTAAACGGTTTATCTAAAATATTTTTTTAAAAAATCTTAAAATTTAGTTTTAAGTCGAAAATTATTATCTTATCGAATTAAATAATAATATAATTTTTATGTCGAATTAAATAATTATATAGATAAACATACCTTGTAATTCAATTGTCGTGGGCAAGGAGGTGCTCTGTTACTCGAATCCGTCTCTGAGATATCCTCACGTGGCTTTGACTTTCGGAAACCTCCCCCGCACGTGACCGGTTAGAGAAAGCTTCTCTCCGTCTTCATCGATGTAGCCGTTGGTGTTAACCCCACTGCGTCGTTTAGGGTTTCTCACCGAGTCAAACCGAGTTGAGGAAGAAACACCTCTGAGATTAGTCAATTCGATTCGTGACTCGTTGAACCACCATCCCGATCTCCGTCTTCATTGATGTAGCCGTTGGTGTTAACCCCACTGCGTCTTCCAATTGCTTAATCATTCTCGTCGTTTAGGGTTTCTCACCGAGTCAAACCGAGTTGAGGAAGAAACACCTCTGGGATTAGCCAATTCGATTCGTGACTCGTTGAACCACCATCATCCCGAGTTCAACCGATGTATCCGGATTCGTCAACCTTTTCAACGCCGAACGACTCGTCACGATCTCGCGAGTGGACTCGGTGTGAGTCCAGTTGGAAATACACATTCGAGACCGAGTGAAACCTAGTCTTCCGAACGAAAACGCATTCGTCGGTGTGTCATTTTTTTAAAAATTAGGTTGCTTCAAAAAAAAGGAAACTTCTCGGCAAGAAAAAGTTACCGTTACTGTTACAATATGTTAAAGCCCACGTGATAAGCCCATGTATTTTCTATTTACTAGCCCATATATAGCCCATGACTAAATGTAGAACTATCATGAACAAGGTTGCCAAGTTATACGACACCGGTTTAATGTTTCAAAATTAGTTGTTCATCAGTTTTATTTGATATTAATACCCACTGAATTGGAATTATACAAATTGAATTGAATCTTTATAAAATGAAAAAGGTTTACAAACATCAGAAACAAATCCCATTAAACTAGAATAAGCTTAAGAATCTACAAAAATCCTTCAACATTAATTTATGAATATTTTACTTCATTCTATTAGAGGATCCAAAAGAAGACCAAAGACTAAGTTACAAGTGAAGCTCATAAGTCTATGAAATTAGGTCTATGCAAGTAGATTCATATAAATAGTTTTGTAATGACATCAAAGTTGCTAACTTTGGGAGTTGACATTTAGAGCAACTCTCTTCTTCATCTTAAGAAATATCAAATCCAAAATTCTTTGAGCTTTGTGACAGTTTAAGCTTTCTCTCCTTTTAGTTTATTTGCACAATAAAGTTCTTCATGAACTATTCAATTTTCAATCTCTTTTATCTCTTTTAGCAGCTAGAATAAGCTTGCTTTGGATTTGCTCACACATTCTACATTGAAAACATAATTTAAAAAACTTCAACCCAAGATAAATGAAAAAAAACTGCATAATGTTAATGGTCACAAAAAAAAACACTAAGAAAATGAAAACAACTCTGATTTTATAAAAAGATTATTTGCATTTTGGAAAAAAAAACACAAAAGCTTTGTGTCTAATCAAATAAATTTGTGGATTTAGAAATCTGAATGGTGTATGCGATGCTGTTGTGGTTACGTCTTAAAAGGTTTGTTTATCTAAATCTAGACACGACGAAAAAACCAAAAAGTCGGGCGCGTGAGTAGCACGCGTGGGCGACTTTCCTCCATTCTTCTCACCGAGAACAACACAGTCGCCGTCAATTGCTTGCCTCTCCGGTGACCGGTTGCGACCGGTGCCGTGAGAGGGGTCTAGGTTCTTTCTGTCCGATTTCATTTGTGCACTTGAAGATTCGGAAGTCTTGTTTCGGTCCTGTTTCTCGCGGTGAGAGTTGAGGGTCCGCCGTGCGTGTCGGCCGTTCTCGGTGGTCGGAATCTCATGCTCTCTGCCCCTATTGCCTGTAGACGGCGACAGATCAAGGCGGAGGCTTGGTTTCTTCCCTAGCGACTCGCCTCTCTGGCGGCGGAGCAAGTTCTCACTTGTAGATCTACTTCTAGATCTCCTTCTTCCTGGCGTTTCTGGTGGCGGTGCGGGCTTCTCCCGGCGTTGCTGTGGTGTGGCTTCTCCCGCCTTGCTTGGTCTCGCATTTTCCAAGACTCCTCTTGGACTAACCATCGCGCTTCAACTCGTGTCTACCGGCGGTTTTGGGCTTCTCTCTGTTGGGATTTGCTTTGAGGACGGCTTTTCCTAGTAGCCAGTAGCTTCTGTCCACCCCGTGCGAGTCGTTTTCGAGTTTTGGAGTTTTGATTCGAGTGGTTTTCAGCGGCTCTGTCGAGAGCTTACCAGCCTAGCTTGTTGTTCTCTAAATTTCCGAGCCTTTGAAGCCTCGACCTCTCTTTCGTCTCTCCTTCGCTTAGGTTTCAGGACTTGGCTGTTGTTTGTTTCTGCTTTGAGTTTTCTGTCTCGACAAGCCTTGACGTTTGGAAGAAGCTTTTCTCTGTTGGCATCTTCTGCTCGTGGACATTGGCAGGATTATTAGGAGAGTGCTTCCTCGTGGCAGGTCAAGTTGTTTTGTCTTTTCGGATGCTCTTTTGATCATTCTTATGGCTGCAGTAGTGTTTGATTTGTTGATGTTTTAGTTACCGGTGGTACTAGCTTTCATCGCCAATTGAGGACGTTACATGTATACCAAGACTTTTGGTTTGGTTCAAGGCCTGGTTTTGTTGTGGCTTGCTTTTGTTTTTGCCTTTTGGTAGAAGTTTGCTATGCTTTGAGTGTCCGCCTCTTGCTTGCGTTAAGATTGTGCTATAGAGGAGCTAGTAAGGCTAATGGCCTTTGGTGTGGTGGTGAACTGTTTTTATTATTGCTCTGCGCTAGCCGACTTCGGGTGAACTTGGTAGAGGGAGCACACACCGTTGGCATAATTTGGCGTGTGAGGTTCCGTCCAAAGAAAGCTCATGGACTTGATCAAAGAATCGCTTCTGCATTTTGCGGGGAGAGAATGTGTGGCAGGGTTTGGAGTTTTTTTCCGTTGACATCTCGGTCTCGGGCCTCCTTTGAAAGGCTTCTAGAGCTATGTGTCTTCTGCAACTCGGCGGTCACAATTCGCAATCGCCCTTCTCCTTTTGCAATTCTTCTAGGAAGAACAACAAAATCGTCATCGCTTCATTTAACTCTCATAGCTCTTTCGCTATGGTTGAGTGGATGGACCGAAAACCGTGGTTACTAACTTATGCTTCCATGTTTTTATCTTTTTTGCCATGGAACCATTTTCTAGGATTATAATCATCGATTGTAAACCTAAACATTTTTCATTTTATGAAATATTTACATTCTTAGCAAAAAAAAAAAAAAAAAAAAAAAAGGTTTGTTTATCTTGGTCCCCAAGGTTTTTCTATCTCTGCGACATTAGTTCCTAATGTAACCGTTAAGCTCTCCTGAATCCTGGTACATCCATTTTATTGGTTCAAATATGATTTATTACACTTGATGGAATCAGACTGTTCCATTTAAGGATGAAGCTATATCTCTGTAAGTAAATTCTGATCTGCAACACACCAAGAAGCTCATAACTGATTTCAAAAGATACAAATGAAACACTTAAAAGCAAACCAGTCCTCAAAAGATACTAAGAAGGAAAATTAAAAGATACTAAACCAAAATATCACAAAGGTGAGACTGATCTTTGATAATCTACTTGCATTTGACTGCCCAAAACCAACCTCGAATACGCCTAGATCAAACGAGCTGCTGCTGCTAGTCGTCTCTCTTTTATGTTTTTCCGTTCTATCAACCATGCCACAGTTTTATGTGCCTTGTTAATACGTTCCTCCATTGATGATTCCAGAACCTTTAGCGTTTGAAATCTCTTTTCGTCGTAGTCATTACCAGAACCATCGTTTCTCTTTTCTAAATCCTCACTGGATTTCATAGTTTCTTCACTTCCAAGGCCATTATCAAGAAGCAAACAATCCTGTCCATGAGTTTCATCCGCTACAGCAATGTGAATGTTTGACTCATCTGATGGGCTCTTACTCTCATACGCAAGCTTTTGACAAAGGATTGGTTCATTGTTGTCTGGCTTTAATGCTAGCTCATCTATTGCAACCTTTTTCTGGATCAAACTGTCATCTAGATCAGCTTCACTACTGCACAACTTCTCATATGAGCCCGCATTTTGTCCTTCTATGATACCATCTTCTCGGAGCAAACACTTTGGTTCCTCACTGCCATCATCGATCAGCTCGGGATTGCTTCCATATACATCAAGCTCATCATCACAGGTTTTTCTTGTCTCTTGTGGTGACACAACAATGTCAACTACTCCTTCATTAGCACCAAAGGGAGGATCTGAAGAGTTGTTTTTATCAAATGGGCTCACAGCCATATTCTTTCTTGCTTTGCTTCCACTTTCATCAGCCTGTTCATTCCTTTGCTCTATTTCTGGTGGTTGTACAGTTTCATCTTTTATAAAAACAAGCTTTTGACAAGGGACAGAATCATTGTTATGCGCCTCAAGTATACATTTTTTACCAAGCGGTTCAGAAGCATCTCCTCCACTATACTTCTTATTAAGTTTCAGCAATTGAGCAATGGTGAGACTGTCATCTTCTGAAGATACCTGTGTCTGACAACGAACATCGTTCTCACGATCTTGCTTCATGTACTTGCGTCTATTGTTTGAATCCTCAGCTATATTCATGCCATCCTCACTTGTTCTCTTCATCTTAGAGCTTGAAAGAACAAAACTAGTATCATCACTTATGATGTTTGGTGAATTCAATGTTTCAGCTGATTCGTTGGTACCGTTTTCACGAGCTTGCTTCATATACTTGAGTCTCTTATCACGAGCTTGCTTTATGTACATGCGCCTCTTGTTTGTCGATTCCTCGGCTATCTTGATTCCAACCCCTGAAGGAACAAAACTAGTATCATCACCTCTGATGTTTCTTGCTTTCAATGTTTCAGCTGATTCATTACCTGAAGAATACTGGAAGTCTGGAAACGACTTCCTCCACCATTCGCAAAACGTTGGAGTAACACGAGGTATTGCAAAACGGGAAGGAATGTATAGTGCCAAATCATTAATAGGCTTATTATAATCATTCCAAGCAGCCTCATGTGAGAGGTTGTTCTGACTAATAGGACAAGGAACATCTTGAAGCATCCCAAACTGTGAAGCCACTCTATTGGGGAAGTAATGCTCCACATTGTCAATTCCAACAAGCTGAGACACCGTAATGCATCGAGCAAAGGAGATAAATTCATCATCAAGATTGGGACCAGCAGGAATCCACATCGCTTTCTCGGGGTAAAACTTAAGAAGTTCCCAGCTTTCCATAGTTTTTGTGTAGGGACGCCACTCAAAACTGTCGATTTTCGAGCTCTCCAGAATCTGCTTTGCATTGCTGGTTCTCTGTTTCAGGTCATGCCAAAGAGCCAATCTTGGCTCACCTTTCAGCAACTGATTGGGTTTTGGCTGTAGTTCCTTGAATCTTTCCCATGTCCAAACTTGAACCAACTTAAACAAGGCAACGAGATCAATTCTAGCTGTAATCGTTGATTCTCTGAAATCTTCAATGTGATTTTTCAAGAGACGTAGCTCTCCATACAAGTGTGCAAGAACAGCAGGAGCAAGAGCAATCTTAGTACCACTAGAAAGATGAACAGAAATTGGCAAAATAGCTTCATAGATATGATAATAGCTTGATGGAAACACAAAGTAGCTAAGCCACAACACTAAGAAAGCCACATGCTCAAGCTCATCACCACTATTCATGAATCTTTCCACCCATGCTACTTGGGTTACAAAACTGACTTTCTCCTTCTTTTTTTTTTTGAATGTAATGTTAAATTATATTCAAAGAAAAAATATACGTTTTTACAACGAGTGCAACGAAGAATCGAGAGAAAAGTTTGAAGATTACAATCTAATTTTCAAAAGAAATCCGAGAAGTGTTTTAAAACCAATCAAGCTCGAGTGCTAAGCCATATTTGGGACGCCATATCATACCTCCTGTCTCGCATACGTCTAATGGTAGTGATTTGATTTCGCACTTGTTTATCAATCCATCCGATGAGTGTGGCTGGGCTGTTGTGTGCTTCGCCGTGTCTCCGATTGTTTCTTGACTTTCTCCTTCTTTATCTTCAGCCATTCTCTCTTTAGCTTCGCCATAATCTTCTCTCCTGAGCTATCTAGTGCAGCAAAAACCGGTGAACCCAAAACAGAGAAACCTAAAAGCAACATAACGTCTTCAAGTGTTATGGTTGTTTCACCCCAAGAGAAAACGAAGGTGTTGGTGTCAGGACACCATTTCTCAGCAACACCCAGAACAAGGTCTGGGTTTTTACGGATTCTGTATATGGATGCCATGACTGCTTCAAAAATCCCAGCTTTTCTCCAAATAGGTTCGTGTAAAGCAGCCATTTTTCTTGCCCAAGACTTGAAATTTGTGATTGCAAGTCTCCACCCATTGAAGGAAACACTGAAAGACAGAGCATTTAATTGAGGAAGATTTTGACAAGGAAGCATAGCTTCAACCACCCAATGGAGGTGGTTGAAACAAGGTTTTAAGAGATGGGGTTTTCAGAGGGAAACAATTTCTGGAGAAGAGAAGACGAAATATAATTTTTTTTATTCTTTTTCCCATATTTGTTTTGTTGAGTGTATGTAAGTTTGAGTAAAAGTTAAGGCAAATAAATTGCTGGAATTAAGCACTACTATTCAAGGTAGTAATTGGAAAGATTTCACCATTTCTTGTTTATTAGATGTTTTAGCAATGGTGGTGGTGAAACAGGGTTTTAAAGAGCTATACGAAAACTGTAGACACTTTTTTTTTTTTTTTTGCCAATCAAACACCATATATTAATTCACGGAATCAGACTCTCTTCTAGAGAGAGCCAATCGGGTACCGTTGAACTTACATGGGAAAAGCAGAACCCGCGATTTCTTGCACATTTCGCAAGATAATCGGCGGAGGTATTACCACTACGAGGGATATGCTTAAGACTAAAAGTAGTAAAACGATCCCTGTAATAAGCAAAGTCTGTTAACTCTGTAGAAAACGTAGGCCAATCTTCAGGAGCACCAGTCATTGCCAACAGGTCAGAACAATCCGTCTGAATGATGATACTCGTCATTGGGATCGCCAATAAACACTTCATCGTCCATAATAGAGTATCCAATTCAGCATGAAGGGGAGAGAGACTTCTACGCGCGCCTTTCAAGCCCAAGTGTAGCAGTCGTCCTTCCTGATAGATAAGCCACCCGTGCCCACTCCTAGCCTCCGTCCCGATCCAAGATCCATCAATGGAACATACCGGTCTATCCACCGGAGATGGAGACACATTCGCACCAAGAACCATTTCGGCCTGGGGGTCTTCTTGCAGATTTGCTCGCCTCCACGCACCTTCCTCTTGAATTGCCAGATCTAGCGTTTCCTGAGGTGGTACGCTCAAATTATCGAAAATCTTTCGATTGCGCGCCTTCCAAATATACCACATAATCCATGGGAATACTCTTAGACTCTCTTCATCCGCACCCGCCTCTTTACCCCGCCAATACAGATAATCTAAATTATTGTAGAGTGACGCCGAAGGAAACACCGTTGGGGGAGATGGGATGTTGGAGAGAGCCCAGACTTGTCTAGCAGGAGGACATTCAAATATCAAATGATTGATTGATTCTTCTTCGGCACCGCATCTTGAACATCCTTTATCTCTACCAATATGGCGATAAAATAGGCGTTGGCTCGTAGCCAAACAACCAGTCACACATTGCCACACGAAATGCTTTAATTTTCGCGTAGTTTTTAATTTCCAAGCTTGCGCCTTAAGTGTCGTAACATTAGGTCCCTGAGAAGGGTGGTCGCAAGCAGGGCGAGAAAGATTTCTCGCGACCTCGTATCCAGATTTTACGGTGTAATTACCAGACTTTGTCATTGTCCAGCTATAACCGTCATTCGAGACAATACAGCTCGGTTTAATCCCTAATATTAGGGTAATTTCCTCCGGGGGAAACAGTTCCCGGAGACGATCCATCTTCCACTGTTTAGACCCAAAGTCAATCAAGGTATTGACGAAAACCAAAGGGTCTCTCTCCACCGATAATCCCTTAGGTGGTCGTGTCGGAGTATCTGGTATCCAGGGGTCTGTCCAAATGCAAGTACCGAAGCCCGAGCCAATGGTCTTGCGGATTCCATATTTAAGAACGCCCTTGGCGGCCAGCATGCTTCTCCATCCATACGACGGCCGATTGGAAACAGTGATCTCTAGTGGGCTAGAATACCGAAAGTAACGTCCTTTAAGAACCCTGCTAAGGAGAGAATCTGGAAATCGTAATAATCTCCATAATTGCTTCGCCAAGAGTGCGAGATTAAAATCTTCCAAGGACCTAAATCCTAACCCTCCTTCTGAGAGTTGGGTACAGATTTGGTCCCAAGCTATCCAGTGTATTCCACGACTATCTACTTTATTACTCCACCAAAAGTTGGCAATTGCACTGGTGAGTTTAGAACAAATTGCTTTTGGTAGTAGGAAACACGACATTACATATGTCGGAAGAGCTTGTGCTTGTGATTTAATTAGGACTTCTTTTCCGCCTTTAGATAGGAATTTTGACGACCACGAATTAACTCTAGATTGTAATCTGTCTCGCACAAACGCGAAGACCTGGGCTTTTGATCCATGTAAACTTCCATGCTCTTCGTTCCAATCCGGTAAATCGTAAGAAGTTTATGGCACTAAAAACGGATATGAGTAAGGCCTACGATCGGGTGGAATGGGGGTTCCTCCGAGCTTTGATGGAAAAGATGGGATTCAACCTTCGATGGATAGACTGGATAATGCAATGCATTACCTCAGTTTCTTATCGGATTTTGATTAATGGCGACCCAAAAGGACGGATTAGACCATCTCGAGGCATTCGTCAAGGAGACCCAATTTCTCCGTACCTATTTATCTTGTGTACAGAAGCACTTATCGCTCAGATTAGAAAGGCTGAAAGGGAAGGCAAAATTCAGGGGCTTCGAATTTCTCATGCGAGCCCCCGTGTCTCACATCTTCTCTTCGCCGATGATAGCTTATTTTTCTGTCAGGCCAATGCCGACCAGAGCAAAGAAGTTATTGACATTATCCGCTCCTATGGCGGGGCATCTGGACAAGAGGTTAATCTGAATAAATCCTCTGTTATGTTTGGTAACGAGGTCCCTCCCCCAGTACGGCAGGAAATCAAATCGATTCTTGGGATTTCACGTGAAGGCGGGATGGGAACATATTTAGGCCTTCCTGAAAAAATACATGTAGACACTTGTGTTTTAAAAAAGTTTAGTTATAATTATGATATTCATGATATTCTTAAAGTTGTGTTTAACGAATATAAAATCAATAGTAAAGAAAAAATTTGAATACAAGGAATTTTCAATAGAATTTAAAAGTCATCAACCAAACTAATTCCGAGTAAAACTAATTTTGATAACCAATTTCCGGTAAGCTCGGCTATAGTTTTTTTTTCTTCTCTTTTTGTCTGTTTGGGTTTAATATTTGAAGATGAAGGCAGAGAAACTGTTTTGCTTTTGCAGGTGGGTGCAGCAATGAAACAGTTCCTTTTAAGGTGACTAATTAATAAACATAAAATAAATATTAATTTCTTAAAATCATTTTAAATGTTTTATGTCTTGCAGTTTGTATCTTATCTTCAAGAAGAATATATTTAAAAAATGATTTTAATGATAGTAGAAAAAGAAAATATAATTTGCATGTTGAAAATAGATGCAAGAAACTATGCATTTGAAATTTTGAAGTGTGACGTTACAAATCGAAGTTTCTTGTTTGGAGTCATATAATGTGATGACCTCTCAAAGTTTCTATGCACCTAATTAAAAAAGCAACAGTGGTTTGATGTATCTTATTAATAACTAAGCTTTGTGTCTGGTAAGTTCAATACATAGGCAAAATAACAAAATAAAGCACACCAAAGATTAATTACTATGTGAGACATTGTTGTTTTGTTTCAATGAGATCCACTTAAAAAGTTTCAGATTAGTGAAATGGCACAACTAGCTAAGCAGACACTTCAACATTTTTTGTTTGTCTGGTTTTCCAATTGCTAATCATGGCCAAAGTAAATAGTTAATAATGACTTAGATAACTCTAAATTTCTTGGTTTATATATGATGAAAATCAGGCTATCTCTGTATGAAAACACTGACATGTAACACACCAAGAAGCTATTAATTAGCTCATTACTTAGTAAGTTCAAAAAATACAAATTAAACACTTAAACTAAGAGCAAACCAGTCCTCAAAAGATATTAATATCTAAGCAGGAAACACAAAAGATCACAAAGATGAGATTTGAGTTCTCACTTCTTTATCAGTCCAAGACAACATAACTCAAAGAAGGTGCTGCTATTTTTCTCTCTTTCATGGCTCTCCTTTTGTTCAACCATTCCACAGTTCTTTCTGCCTTGATAATACGTTCCTCTATCGACAATGCCAGCACATTCAGCTTTTGAAATCTCTTTTCAGTGGTGTCATTATCACCCTCACCCAAATCATTGTTTCTCTTTTCAAAAACCTTTAACTGCTCATTGGATTTCATAGTTTCTTCACTTCCGATACCATCATCATGACGCAAACAAGCCTGTCCCTGATCACCATCAGATGGCTTTAGAACCTTACGCTTATATGCTTTGCTTGTTTTATCTCCATTAGCGCATCCAGAAGCAAGCTTTTGATGAGGGTTTGATAATATGTTGTCTGCCTTTAATGCTAGCACCTTCTCATTGATCCTTCCATCAGCATCTTCCTTCTCAGCTTCACTGCAACACTTCTTATCTGATCTCACCATTTCTCTAGTTATGGTACCATCTTCATGGGGCAAACACTTTGGTTCCTCGCTGTCATCATCGATCATAGTCTTCTTCTCTGCATTGCTTCCATATACATTAAGCTCAACATCACAGAGACTTGTCTCTGGTGCTGATACAACATTCTTCCTTAACATGCTTCCAGTTTCATCAGTCTCTTTATTCCTTTGTTCTATTTCTGGTGATTGTACATTTTCATCTCTTATCAAATCAAGCTTTTGACAAGGCCCCGAATCAATACTATCCGCCTCGAGTCTACTTCTTTTACCAATCCGTTCAGAAGTATCTCCTCCAATATTCTTACCAGCACTATACTTCTTCTTCTTAAATCTCAACAGTTGGGTAATGGTGAGGATGTCATCTTCTTCATCATCGTCTGACAGAACCTGTGTCTGACAACGACGCATAGTACTCTCATCGTTCTCACGAGCTCCCTTGCTTGAGTCCTCAGCTATCTTCATTCCACCACCCTTGCTTGTTCTGTTCACCTTAGAGCCTGAAAGAACAAAACTAGTATCATCACCTATGATGTTTCTTGATTTCAAAATTTCAGCTGATTCATTGTTACCGTTTTCTCCTTCTTCCTTGTCCTCGTCCTTTTCCTCTTCTATTATCTCCCTTGTACGTTTCTTCTTCTTACTAGGGGTAACACTGTCTCTATGTGTGTCCTCCTCCACAACCTGATTTAAAATAAACATGTCAGAGTTTGTCTAATAAGATGATCCTTATCTTTTGTATGACAATGCTATTTATAAAACCTTATTTAATTGTTTGAAATTTTTTACTTACCTCTTTTTCTTGTGTCTGTTTTCCTTGTTCTGCATTCTCTTTAACTCCCAAAACTATCTCTAAGCTTTTTATCTTTATGTCCTGAAGGGTGACAAGTCTGGTCAACTTGTCCAACTTCTCATTACACTCATCAAGAGAACAAAGTCTGGTCAAATTGTCTTCTGTCTCTTTTCCTTGTTCTCCATTCTCTTTAATTCCCAAAACTATCTCTCTTGAAGCAACAAGATCAACATATCCATTTATCCAATCACTTGCCTTTATCCTATATCCTTTCTCAACCAGATCAATCACTTTTCCAAATTCCACGTCAACAACTTTCTTCACCAAGTTGTTGTACAGTTTGGGATCTCCAATGATGCATTTTACCTCAACCTAATATTTTAAAATTGCATCACAGATTTAAATCCATATAAAACAAACTTACATAGATATTAAAAGAACCGTATATAGGTAGAAACCAAGCTTTGTTACCTTATCAAGTTCTGCGATTCTTGCGACTTCTCTTAACTGTGGTGTCGAAGTGTGTGTCCACTCTAGGCATAATGGACCATTTGTTGTTGAAACCACTCTTTTCGCAAATCTTGTCCCTAGTTGATGCACCGAAGACAATGCCCAAAATTGTATAGCTAATGGAAATCCATGAAACCAATATTGTTTCCTTGACAAATGATTACTAGTGAGCTTCACAACACTTTTCACCAATGTGTCATATGCACATTTCCCCCAAGGGTAACTGCAATATTCCTCAAAATCCTTAGCTCGCAGCAAACGAACTACCGGAATTTTCCGATCTGCATGTTGAGCTAGCAGTATACCCTCAACAAGTATTTTAGCACCAATGCGAACTGAGCTAGCAGTATACCCTCAACAAGTATTATAGCACCAATGCGAACTTTCTCATCGGGTTTCATAGTGCCTTTACGGTTTGTCAGAATACGAACCAGCTCTTTCAGTTTTATTCCATCTTTCATCCATGAATATGTTTTTTTCTTCCTATCTCCCTTCTTGTTACTTGTCCCTCCTACAACACTACATGGTAATCCGGTTGTAAGGAAAAATTCCCTTAGCGAAAACCGCATTGGTTGTTCACCAAATGTAAACCACAACTCTTCTTCTTTTGTGATTATCCTTCTTTGAAGTAGGTAATGAACCAACTTTCCGGAGAATGTAACAGTTTTGTCTTGTCCCAGCTTTATTATAGTACTCAGAAAGGACTTTTCTAACTTTTCGAAATCACTACCCAATAGATCCTTCACGAAGCCCACCAACTTTAAACTTGAACACATGTTGATCCTTTCTAATCCCACTGGTTCAGTGCCGTGCTTGAAAATTCTGTTGGGCAAAGCAAGTTTCTCAGTAGACTCTCTAGTATTCATCTCTCTACACCTGCATACAAATAAAACAGAGCAACTCAACCTTCACTGGAAGTTACCAAATCAAGCAGCTCAAAAATAAAACTCAACATGTTTCAGAGGCAAAGTTAGTTCTGTGTTGTGTGTGAACCAACATTATTCAAGACATTCTAAATCTCGTTTATTCACCTAAACAACAAACAGTTGGAAGTAATGTAAACAAAATCTAATCTTTATGGAGACAAATGATGACACTTTAAGACCTAACGCTGTCCAAAACAAACTTTCTAGTCTACACACAAAACAAGCGAAGAAATAACTCCTAAATCAAGATATATAGAGAGAAAAGAATGTGTTAAAGAAGAGAGAAGAATGCGACTCAATACCACAAGGAAGAGGAGAGAGTGGGTGGCTGATCAGAGGCGGAGCTATTTTTGCTGGAGGCCAAAGTCGGTGAAACAAAAACCTTAATCTTTAAACCAGTGACAGAAACACTGAAAGACAAAGCCTTTAATGGAGGTGGAGAAACAGAGTTTTGAAAAATGGATTTTTTTGGGTGCTAGGTCGACTGTTTTCAGAGGGAAGCATTTGTTGCAAGAGAAAGTTTCACTCTTTTTTCTCATTTTTGATGTTATGGTTTGAAATTTGAATCGTTTGAAAGATAAAAAAAAAATCAAGGCAAAAGATTATGTTGCAGAGGTGATGGAACTGGAATGTGACACTTGCTTTTTAAACTCATCAATCAACATTAAATAATTTAACTCCATTTTTTAATCAACTTACAATTTTTATTAGAAAAAAAAAAGACTGATTTAATAATAGCATTCCAAATTGCAAAAACTGATTAGTAACAATGGTAGCATTTACAATTTCTTGTGGTGATTACAATGTAATAGTAGATAATGTATATCTTTCATATACTAACACCATAAAGCTTTGTGTTTAGTAAGTTCTCTAGGTGAGAAAATAACATTGTAAGAGTTTCAGATTAAATGGTTAAACATACACAACTCGCTAAGCAGAAACTCCCTTTTGGTCTTCTTCTCAACGATATTAGTACCTAATGTGACTGGCAGCAACCACATACCACTGAAAATCTGAGTGATGGTTAAAATAATGTTGACTGGTGGCAACCAGTACACATATGAATATGTCAATATAGTAATCTGCTTTGAGTAGAAATCTATTTTTTTTTTGTTTATCTATGAATTATATTATATGATGGAATCAGGCTATCCTCTGTATGACAACTCTGATATGTGACACACCAAGAAGCTATTAAGTTGCTCATAACTGAGTAGGTTCAAAAGATTCAAATGAAACACTTGAACCAAACCAGTCTTTAAAAGATACTAAGCAGGATGATCAAAAGACACTAAACCAAAAAGATTATAAAGATATGAGACTGAACTTGCATTTGACTTCTCCTTTCTTTATCTGTCCAAAACAAGACCTAACTCAAACCAGCTGCTGCTATTTTTCTCTGTTTTATGGCTCTCCTTTCGTTCAACCATGCCGCAGTTCTTTCTGCCTTATTAATACGTTCCTCTATCGACAATGCCAGCACCTTCAGCTTTTGAAATCTCTTTTCAGTGGTGTCATTATCACCCTCACCCAAATCATTGTTTCTCTTTTCAAAAACCTTTAACTGCTCATTGGATTTCATAGTTTCTTCTTCACTTCCGATGCCATCATCATGAAGCAAACAATCCTGTCCCTCATTTCCATGCCCTACAGCGATGTGAATGTTTGACTCATCAGATGGCTTCAGAACCTTAGGCTTATACACTTTGCTTGTTTCATCTCCATTAGTGCATCCAGAATCAAGCTCTTGATGAGGGCTTGATTTGTTGTTGTCTGCCTTTAATGCTATCACCTTCTCATTGATCCTTCCATCAGCATCTTCCTTCTCAGCTTCACTGCAACCCTTCTTATCTGATCTCACCATTTCTCTAGTTATGGTACCATCTTCATGGAGTAAACACTTTGGTTCCTCGCTGTCATCATCGATCATAGTCTTCTTCTCTGCATTGCTTCCATATACATCAAGCTCATCATCACAGAATTGACTTGTCTCTGGTGCAGATACAACAATGTCAATTGCTCGACCAAAATCAACAGGAGGTTTTGAAGAGTTTTTTTCATCGAATGGGCTCAGAACCATACGCAGCCCTTCTTTGCTTCCTGTTTCATGAGGTTCTTCATTCTTTTGCTCTATTTCCGGTGGTGGTACAGTTTCATCTCCATCATCTCTTATCGAAGAAAGCTTTTGGCAAGGCCCTAAATCATTGTTATCCGCCTCAAGCTTTATTTTCTTACCAAGCGGCTCAGAAGCATTTCCTCCACTGTTCTCACTACACTTCTTCTTATAAAGTGTCGTTATTTGAGCAACGGTGAGGCTATCATCGTCATCATCTCTGTCTGATGGAACCTGTTTCTGACAACGACCCATTGTACTCCCATCGTTCTTACGAGCTCCCTTCATGTACTTAAGTCTCTTTTTTGTTGAATCCTCAGCTATCTTCCTTCCATCCTCGCTTCTTCTGTTCATCTTAGAGCCTGAAAGAACACAACTTGAGTCATCACCTATGCTGGTTCTTAATGTTTTAGCTGATCCAACAACACCCTTTCTCCACTGGTCACAGAACATTCGCGTATCAGAAGATATTGCAGAACGGGAAGGAATGTATAATGCCAAATCACCAATAGGCTTAGAGTAATCATTCCAAGCTGCCTCTCGTGAGAGGTTGTTCCGGTTAACAGGACAATGCGCATCCTGAAGCATCCCAAACTGTGAAGCCACCCGATTGGGAAAGTAATGCTCCACATTTTGAATTCCAACAAGCTCAGACATCTTGATGCATCGAGCAAAGGAGATGAATTCATCATCAAGGTTGGGAACAAGAGTCACCCACATCGCTTTCTCAGGATAAAACTGAGGAAAGTCCCAGTTTTTCACAGTTTTTGTGTAGGGACGCCACTCAAAACTGTTCGAGTTTCCCAGAGTCCACCTTGCATTGCTGGTTCTCTGTTTCAGGTCATGCCAACGAGCCAATCTTGGCTCACCTTTTACCAACAAATTGGGTTTTGGTTGCAGTGCCCTGAATCTCTCCCATATCCAAACATTGACCAGCTTAAACAAAGAACTCATATCAATTTCGACCTTAATAGGCGATTCACTGAAAGCTGTAATGTGGTTTTTCAAGAGACTCAGGTCAGCATATAAGTGTGCAAGAACAGCAGGTGCAAGAGCCATCTTAGTACCACTTGAAAGATGAATAGCAATTGGCAAAATAGCTTCATAGATATGATAATAGCGTGTTGGGAAAACAAAGTAGCTAAGCCACAAGACGAGGAAAGCCACATGCTCAAGCTCATCACCACTGTCCATGAATCTCTCCATCCATGCTACTTGGGTTACAAAACTGACTTTATCTTTCTTAATCTTCAGCCATTCTTTCTCCAGTATCGCCAAAATCTTCTTTCCAGAGCTATCTAAAGTATCAAAAACCGGTGAACCCAAAACAGAGAAACCTAAAAGCACCATAACGTCTTCAAGTGTTATGGTTGCTTCACCCCAAGAGAAAACGAAAGTGTTGGTGTCAGGACACCATTTCTCAGCAATACCCAGAACAAGATCTGTGTTCTTACGGATGTTGTATGTGGATGCTAAAATTGCTTCAAAAATCCCAGCTTTTCTCCAAATGGGTTTGTGCAAAGCTGCCATTTTTCTAGCCCAAGAGTTGAACTTTTTTTGTGGATACCTCCAACCCCAGAAGTTAACACTCATAGAAAGAGCTTCCAAGTCAGGAGAAGGAGTTGAGCGTTTCTGACAAAGATGAGCTTGAGATCCATTAATGGAGGTGAGACAAGGTTTCAAAAGATGGTCTTTTTTGCTATTAGGTCGATTACTGTTCTCGGTGGGAGACGCCATGAGCTCTTCTCTCTCTTTTCAATGAAGATCTTCAATTGAAGAAGAAGAAGAAGACGAAAGCAATAAAAATTAAACGCCTTTTTTTTGTTTTTTCTTGCGGCTTGTTAATGTTTGAAAGTCAAGGCACGCAGAAACTATGTTGCAGAGGTGAGTGATAAAATGAAACAATTAATAAAAAAAAAAAGATCTCACTAATATTATTATTTATCTTGTTTTAAATCCTTTTTAAAAAAAATATATAATAGATAATTAGAGACAAAAACAAAATTCAGAAATTAATTTTTTTTTTTCACTTTCAGAAATTAATTTGCATTTTGGAAAAGATGCAAAAACTGGTAGGTCATTGCATTTACAATTTTTTTTGTTTTCTAGTATTCTATAGCATGATTGGTAGGCATATTTACCAAAATGGAATTAAGTGACCAATCAGAAACTAATTGGTTTTTTTATAAACCGAGAGGTCTATATCAAATTCAAGACTTAACCGAAACTTACTCAATCAAACCAAACGAAATACCTATCAAAGACAAAAGTTTCCTTGCGCCTAATTCAAAAGCTTACTTATTATATTCTTCCATTTGATATGTCTTTCTAATTACTAACGAACACCATAACTATGAGTGCCTGGTAAGTTCTCTAAATATGCAAAAAACCAAACGAGAGTCACACCAAAGATTGATATATGTGTGACATTGTTGTTTTGTTTCCATGAGATCATCCTAAACAGAAGAAACTCCATTTCCAGTCATGTTTCCTCTGGTTTTCCATTTTCTAATCATGGCCAAAGTCTTCTCCATCTCAATAATACGTGCCTCAAGCTTCAGTTCCATCTCCTTTATTGCAATCTTTCTCTGTTTCAATCTTTCATCAATTTCTTCTTCTTTCTTAACTTCACTGCACAGTTTCTCATTGCATCTACTCTTTTCTCCATCTTCATGGACCAAACATTCTGCTTTCTTGGTCCCATTGCTTCCAATGCTTTGCATTATCGATCCGTTGCATGGCTTATCATCGATCATACTCTTCTTCTCTGCAGTATTTTCATTTACATCAACCTCAAAATCATCAAAAATTTGCCTTGTCTTATGTGCTTTGCTTGCAGTTTCATCATCCTCTTCACTCCTTTGCTCTAATTTTATCGAAGCAAGCTTTTGACAAGGCTCTGAATCGTCATCGCTATCCACCGCCATATATCTTCTAGCTCTTTTTCCAAGTGTTCCAGAAGCATCTCCTCCAGTTCTCTCTGCATCACTGCTATACTTCTTCCTAGCTCTGATCCTTTGAGAAATAGTCGATTTATCATCTTTGTCATCCATAGAACTCTTCTCATCATCCTCATGAGCTCGCTTCAGCTGCACTGGCTTGTAAATGCATCTCTTTCTTGTAAAATCCTCACTTGTCTTGTTCATCTTCCAACCTGAAGATACACTACTGTTCACCAACCCACCTATCTTATCTTGCTTTACTGATCTATGTATCACAGATCTTCTGTGTTTTGCAGAAAAGCCTTCTTCCAATTTCTGAACCACATGACTCAAAGGCAGTACCTTGGGAGATGCATCAACGTCATCAACATCTTCATCATAATGTTCCACTTTCTTCCTTGCATTAAAAGTTTCAGTTGATTCTTTATGCATCTCTGCAGAACCAAGAAACTTTGAAACTGATTTCTGCCACCAGACTCGGTATCTGGAAGTGACAGAACCTCGATCAAGGCGAGAAGGCATGTAAAGGTTTAAACCATCAAAAGACTTACTGTAATCGTCCCAAGCCTCCTTTTCTGTGAAGATTCTATGACGAGTAACCAAACCAGGAAGATCTTGAGCCAAACCGAACTGCATCGCCACTCTATTCGGAAAGTAATCCTCTACAAAACCATTTCCAGCAAGCTGAGAAACCCTCACACATTTTGCAAAAGAAGCAAACTCATCATCAATACTTTTATCAACAGTCACCCACATAGCTTCTTCAACATAAAACCGAAGAGGGTTCCAATTCTTCAAATCTTGAGTGTAAGGACGCCACTCAAAATCATCAAAACTCAATCTCACATTCTGATTTCTTTGTTGCAGAGAGTCCCACTGAGCTATTCTAGGTTCACCTTTGGGTATCTCTCTAGCTTTTGGTCTTATGTTTCTGAATCTCTCCCATGTCCAAACTTGTACTAACTTAAACAAAGACTTCAAATTAACTTTGTCAGCACATTTCTCTCTACCAAAATCACAGATTCGACCCAAATCTCTGTACAGGATTGAGAGAACAACAGGAGCAAGAGCAATCCTTTCCCCTCTAGCTAAACGAACAGCAACTGGGGCAACATGTTTGGAAATAGCACGACGAGATGTAGCAGGAAAAACAAAAAGCGAAAGCCACAATACCAGAAACGCTTCGTGCTCCATCTGACCACCTCTACCCAAAAAGCTCGAAATCCATGGTGTTTCCTTCAAAGTACCGTCTCTGCATCTATTCTCAAATCTTTCTTTCTCCAATTTCTCCACGGCATCTCTCATCTCTGAGCTTTTTAAAGGAGCAAAAACAGGAGACCCCAAAACAGAGAACCCAAGAAGAACCATTACATCCTCAAGCGTTATCGTTGCTTCACCCCAAGGAAAGACAAAAGATTTTGTTTCAGGACACCATTTCTCAGTAACAGAGAGAATCAAAGACACGTTTTTTGAGATATTGTAAGTAGAAGCCTTGATTGCATCAAAAATCCCAGCTTTTTTCCAAGTGGGTGCGTGTAAAGCTTCCATTTTTACAACCCAAGACAAAAAACGACGCTCTGCAAACCAAAACCCAGAGAAAGAAACCTGTGAAGAGAAGCGCTTTAGTTCCAAAGAGAAATCAGAGGGACGTTGATAGTCACGACGAGGAAGCTCAAATACAGAGCCACCTTTGATGGAGGTAGCAAAAGGTTTAAGAAAATGGGTTTTCTTCAAGCAACGACCTTTTTTAGAAACCATGACTTCTTCTCTCTCTTCAATGAGAAGATTCTTAGAGGAAGATGCGTTATTCATGTCTCTAGATGATGAAGAAGAAGCAAAAGGTAGGGATTTGAAAGTAGAAAGAAAAACAGAGACTTTAGGAATCAGTAGTTTGCTATGAATGGAAAAAGAAAGATGGCATTTTTTTGTTGAAGCAGTCTGTGCAGAGTAAAAATGTTAGACACTGAACCCAACAGTTTGCTTCTTTTATGGCAAACAAAAAGCAAAAGTCTCTTTCTTTGATTTGTACTCGTAAAATTAAATTTAAAATACTAACTGTACAATGTTAATATCCTAAAGTATTATCACTTTAGGCAATTATGCAAATTCTTTATACATTACTAAAATGTTTATTATGAATGTTTTGAACCAAAGAAAGCAACCATAAGCCACCGTAAGCCCTCCTTAACACGATAAAACCACCGATTCAAAATGCCTACGTAACGAGAAATGAATGATGATATTGTTTGGCCATCAAAAACCGTTTATTGGGCTTAGGACCATGTTTAATCATAATCTTGTAATATGGTCTTGTCTACCAAAATCTCAAATTTAATGGCGAATTTTAGTATGTTACAAATCATTTACGTGTTGTGCTGTATTGAACTATTTTAATAGTGAGAATAATTGCCAAAAAAATGATCTAGCTTTGTGAACAAGTTCAAAATTAGATATTCAAAACTAAAATTTAAACCGGTTCAAAACTAAAATTTATAAATATAATTTTGAGACACATATGATTTAGTTAATATTTATTTGAGAAACCCGTTTTGTTTAATCAAACCAGACTATCAAAGACTTTAATTTGATTTGTGTGTGTGACGACCTCTCATATTTTCTCACTTTCTCTGCACCTAATTCAAAAGCATACGTACTGATTCATCCATTTAATGTATTTCTAATACTAACACTATAAATATTTGTCTCTGGTGAGTTCTCTACATATACAGAAGAGCAAAAGAGTAAAAGAGAATCACACCAATATTGATGTGTGACACTGTTGTTTTATTTCCATGAGATCCTAAGCAGAAACTCCACTTTTAATCTGGTTTCCTTTGATTTTCCACATTCTAATCATGGCCAAAGTCTTCTCCATCTCAATAATACGTGCCTCAAGCTTCAGTTCCATCTCCTTTATTGCAAGCTTTCTCTCTTTCAGTCTTTCATCAATTTCTTCTTGCTTTTTAACTTCACTACACAACTTCTCATTGTATTTCTGCTTTTCGCCATCTTCATGGAGCAAACACTCTGCTTTCTTGGTCCCATTGCATTGTCCGTTACGTTTCTTCTTCCCTATAGAATTTCCAATCACGTCAACCTCAAAATCATTAAAAATCTCCCTTGTCTTCTGTGCTTTGCTTACAGTTTCTTCATCCACTTCACTCCTTTGCTCTATTTTTATCGAAGCAAGCTTTTGACAAGGCTCTGAATCGTCATCGCTATCCACCGTCATATATCTTCTAGTCCTTTTTCCAAGTGTTTCAGAAGCATCTCCTACATTATTCTCTACCTTACTACTATACTTCTTCTTAGATCTGATCCTTTGAGCAATACTCTTGTTATCATCTTCTTCACCCATAGAACTCTCATCATCATCTTCATGAGCTCGCTTCAGCTGCACTGGCTTGTAAATACTTCTCTTGTTTGTAAGATCCTCACTTGTCTTGTTCATCTTCCAACCTGAAGATACACTGCTGTTCAACCCACCTATCTTATCTCGCTTTACTGATCTATGCATCACAGATCTTCTGCGTTGTGCAGAAAAGTCTTCTTCTAATTTCTGAACCACCTGACTCAAAGGCAATACCTTGGGAGATGCATCAATATCATCATCATCATCTTCGTCATAATGATCAAATGTCTTCCTTGCATTAAAAGTTTCAGTTGATTCTTCCTTCACCTCTTCATGACTCAGAAACTTTGAAACTGATTTCAGCCACCAGACTCGGTATCTCGCAGTGACAGAACCTTGATCGAGGCGAGAAGGCATGTAGAGCTTTAAACCATCAAGAGACTTACTGTAATCATTCCAAGCCTCCTTTTCTGTGGTGTTTCTATGACAAGTAGGCAAACCAGGAAGATCTTGAGCTAAACCGAACTGTCTTGCCACTCTATTTGGGAAGTAATCCTCTACAAAACCATCTCCAACAATCTGAGAAACTGTCACACACCGAGCAAAAGAAGCAAACTCATCATCAATACTCTCATCAACAGTCACCCAAATAGCTTCCTCAAGGTAAAACCGAAGTGGGTTCCAGTTCTTTAGCGGTTTACAGTAAGGACGCCAGTCAAAATCATCAAAACTGAACCGCACATTCTTGGATCTTTGATGCAAACCATCCCACTGAGCTATTCTAGGTTCACCTTTGGGAATGTCTTTGGCCTTTGGTCTTATGTTCCTGAATCTTTCCCATGTCCAAACTTGGACTAACTTAAACAAAGATTTCAGATTGAGTTTACCACCACAATCTTCTCTAGCTACCTCATGGACTCGATCCAAATCTCTGTATATGTTTGCGAGAACAGCAGGGGCAAGAGCAATCCTTTCCCCTCTAGCTAAACGAACAGCTATTGGGAAAACATGCTTCGAAATACCACGACGAGATCTAACTGGAAAAACGAAAAACGAAAGCCACAAGACCAGAAAAGCTTCATGCTCCATCTCACTACCACTACCCAAGAAGGTCGAAATCCATGATCCTTGGCGCACTCTAGAATCTCCACCGCTATGCATATGCTGGATTCTTACTTTATCCAGTTTCTTTACCGAATCTCTCATCTCCGAGCTTTCTAAAGGGGCATAAACAGGAGAGCCCAAAACGGAAAACCCTAGAAGCACCATTACATCCTCTAAAGTTATAGTTGCTTCACCCCAAGGGAAGACAAATGATTTGGTTTGAGGACACCATTTCTCAGAAACAGAGAGAATCAGAGACGGCTTTTTACTGATACTGTAAGTAGATGCCTTGATTGCTTCAAAAATCCCAGCTTTTCTCCATGTTTGTGCGTGTAAAGCTTCCATTTTTGTAAGCCAAGATACGAAATGAGCCTCTGCAGCCCAAAACCCAGAGAAAGTATTCCGTAAAGAGAAGAGCTTTAGTAGCTGCGAAGAAGAAACAGAGAAAGGTTCTTCACGGCGAGGAAGCTCAGCCACAGAGCCTCCATTGATGGAGGTAACAAAGGGTTTTAAGAAATGGGTTTTTCTCAAGCAACGGCCTTTCTCACACACCATTACTTCTTCTCTCTCTTCAATGAGAAGACTCGACGATGGCGACGCGTCCTCCATCTCTCAAGATGATGAAGAAGCAAGGGATTCAGGAAAAACTAGGGATTTTGAAAGTCAAAATCGGAGACTTGACGAAGAATCAGTTTTTGCTAAGAAAGGTGCAATTTTTGTTGAAGATGGGCAGAGCAAAATGTTAGAGACTGTACGAACCTTTTGCTTTTTATGGCAAACAAAACAAGTTCCAAATGCTGACTGTACAATAATGCTAATGTACACAATTGACGAAAAATCATTTACATAATTTGAATTTTTAGGGAAAAATCAATTCGGTAGCTCAGGTTTTAGATTCAGCTCGGTTTAGTTAGAAACTTATGTATCATATATATAAGCAGGTTGGTCAAAGTAGAAATTAGCGTCAAATTAATTTAGTTTAAAGTCGAATACATATTGTTAAATTAACCTATACATGCAGTTAACATACAAAAATATTGTTTTAAATCAATTATTGACGCTATGTTTAGAAATGATAATCGCTCTAAAAGTGATTAGTTAATCTTGGTCCCTAAGCGAACATGGTTTCTGTGTCTCTGTTATTTTAGTTCCTGTTGTGACCATGAATCTCTTCAATACATCCAATTTTTTTGGTTTGTGTATAGATTTATTTCACATGATGGAATCAGGCTATCTCTGTAAGAAAACTCTTATATGCAACACACCAAAAAGCTAATAATTAGCTCATTCATAACTTAGTATGTTCAAAAGATACAAATTAAACACTTAAACCGAACTAGTCTTCAAAAGATACTAAAGCATAAACACCCACCACACAGGTTAGATTGATCTTACATTATTCTACTTGCGTTTGACTACCCAAAACAACATCTAACATGCCTAGACGTTAGATCCAACGAGCTGCTGCGGCTAAATTTCTCTGTTTTATGGCTCTGCTTTCTTTCAACCATGTCAGATTTTTCTGTGCCTCGATAATACGCTCCTTTAGCGACAATGCCTGAACCTTCAGCTCTTGAAATTTCTTTGTGTAGGAGTCATTACCAGCATCAAGTTCACCAAAATTTTTGTTTCTCTTTTCTAAATTCTCTAACTGCTCCTTGGAGTTCATAGTTTCATCACTTCCGAGTGCATTATCATGAAGAGAACAGTCATGTTCTTGATTTCCTTCCTCTACAGCTACAGTGATGTGAATGTTTGACTCATCTTCCTTCTCAGCTTCACTACTGAACAAATTCTCATCTGAGCTCGCCTTTTCTCCTGCTATAATACCATCTTCATGGAGCAAACAATCTGGTTCCTTGCTGCCATCATTGGTTATATCTTCATTGCTTTCATATACATCAAGCTCATCATCACAAGTTTGCCTTGTCTCTCGTGGTGACACAATAATGCCATTAGCACCAAGAGGAGAATCTGAAGAGTTGTTTTCATCAACTGGGAATAGAACCGTATTCTTCCTTGCTTTGCTTCCAGCTTCTTCTTGATCGTTCTCTTCACTCCTTTGCTCTATTTCTTGTGGTGCTACGGGTTCATCATCTCCAGAAACAAGGTTTTGACAAATGCTTGAATCATTGTTATCTTCCTCAAGTCTACTTCTTTTTCCAAGTGGTTCAGAAGAACTTCCTTCAATTTTCTCTTTAGATTTGATCCTCTGAGCAACGTTAATGTCATCATCACAATTCTCATCATCCTCAAGAGCTCGCTTGCGTCTCTTGATTCTTAAATGCTCACTTGTCTTATTCACTAACTCCTTCTGAAACAAATGTGGCGGTTCTGTTGAAGTTGATCCATCACCATCACCAGTCTTGTCTTTCTCCATCTCACACCTCAGATTTCTACCTATTCTAAGCGACCTACATCTTTTGAGATTTTCAGGAAACCCTCTTCCCAACCTCTGAAGAACTTGACTCAATGGAACTACCTTAGGAGATACATTATCATCATCATCAACAGTATTACTTAAATTAAAAGTTTCAGTTGACTTCGAGGAATCCAGAAACTCTGAAACTGATTTCAGCCACCAGTCTTGGTATCTTGCAGTAACCGAAGTTGCAGCTAGACGAGAAGGTATGTACAACTTCAAACCATCAAGAGACTTGTTGTAATCATCCCAAGCTTCTTTTTCTGTGAAGTTTCTGTGGTTAGTAACCAAACCAGGCAGATCTTGAGCCAGCCCGAATTGCATTGCAACACGATTAGGATAGTAATCCTCTACAAAACCAATCCCAACAAGCTTAGAACTCCTCACACACCGAGCAAACGAAACAAACTCATCTTCAAGCTTGTCATCAACAGTCACCCACATAGCTTCTTCAACATATAACCGAAGAGGGTTCCAATTCTTCAAAGCTTTAGTGTAAGGACGCCACTCAAAATCATCGAAACTCAATCTCACATTCTCAGTTTTCTGTTGCAGACCGTCCCACCGAGAAATTCTTGGTTCGCCTATAGGTATCTCTTTAGCTTCTGGTCTCAGCTTCTCAAATCTCTCCCATATCCAAAGTTGAACTAACTTGAACAGAGACTGTAGACTAAGATATTTAGTAGTGGACTTACCTCTCGAAATTTCACTCAAATCTTTGTATATGTTTGCGAGAACAGGAGTGGCAAGAGCAATCCTTTCACCTCTAGCTAAACGAACAGCAATTGGCAGATTCGTTTTAGTAATAGAGCGATGATGCTTATTAGGAAAAACGAAATGTGAAAGCCACAATGCAAGAAAAGCTTCATGCTCTAACGAATCATTTCTGTTTCTGAAACTCAAAATCCACTGTAATTCAGTCACGCGCCCGTCCTTGCACCTGTTCTCTAGTCTAGCTTTTTGCAGTATCTTCACGGAATCTCTTATCTCCGAGCTTTCTGAAGAGGAAAAGACAGGAGAACCCAACACAGAAAACCCTAGAAGCACCATTACGTCCTCGAGAGTTACCGTTGCTTCACCCCAAGGAAAGACGAAAGATTTGGTTTCATGACACCATTTCTCAGCAACGGAGAGAATCAAAGGCTGGTTTTTAGTGATACTGTAAGTAGATACCTTGATTGCTTCAAAAATCCCAGCTTTTTTCCAAGTGAGTGCGTGTAAAGGTTCCATTTTTCTAAGCCAGGATAAGAAAAGACACTCTGCAACCCAAAACCCAGAAAAGGAAATCCGAGAAGACAAGCGTTCTAGTTCGAGAGAGGAAGCAAAAAGACGAGGAAGCTTAGCTACAGAGTCATCAATGGAGGTAACAAAGGGTTTTAAGAAATGGGTTTTGCTCAAGGTTCGACCTTTCTCAGTAACCATGACTTCTTCTCTCTCTTCAATGAGAAGGTTCTCAAAGGGTGATGAAGAAGATGCTTTCTCCATCTCTGAAGACGACGGAGGAGAAGCAAAATTAGGGATTTTGACGACGGATCAGTTGCTATGAATGGAAAAGAAAGATGCAATTTTTTTTGATACACAGAGCAAAATGGTGGAGACTGTACAAAAACAAGCAAGTTATTTCTCATGTCCTATGACTGTGCATTGATATGATTTAACTGTATTATAAATTAATAAGTGACTGAAATGTGTAAAATTAAAATTAAATTACTATGTATTTTTTGAAAATTTTGAGGGAAGAAAACGAAGAGTTTTGAAAAACTAGACGACCTGTTGTTGCAGAGCTAATGCCACATGATGTTGATAGCCTTGACGGCTTGACGTGACCAAATAACTCAATATTCCTACGTTTAAGCTTTAATGTTTGAGGTTATGAATGGCGAACACAAAAAAGGCGTTTTTTCTAATTTTTTCCACAAAACCGCAGTGTACTCACCAATCACACTTTTTCTGACAGATTTGCGTTTTAAAAAAAAAAAAAAAAAAGAGGAATTTGCGGTTTTGTCCAACGGGTAATACAGTGGACCGCTGTTAGAAATAAAAAGAAGGCTTTACCCAGCGGTTTTATCAAAAACCGCACCTAACAAAATAATACAATTTTTTTTTTGTTTTTTTTTTTTAACACAAACATTGCTTTTGTGTTTGATGAGAAATGCTTTAGGTAACTTTATTAACTTGTGAGTCAAAGTCAGAAGGTATAACATCAATAATACGAATGAAAAATAAAACACACACTCTCATCGTGATTATCACAATTTTTTTTTTTTAAGTTATAAAATTATTATGAAAGTCATTCTCCTTCTTTTTGTTTGGTAGGAAAAAATATTCTCCTTCTCTAATACATGCAAGTGGGCTTTGTTTTCCACAAAATCATACGGCATGTGTTTTTTTTTCAGCAAATTAAATTGAAAGCTTTTAAATTTATGATTAAGAATTTTTAATTTATCCTACCAAAAAGAAACTGAATGTTTAATTTATGTGAATGTTTAATTTATGATTATACTAATATATATATAAATGTTTAATTACCAAAAAAAATATATTTATATATATATAAATGTTTAATTTATGATGATACTAATATATATATAAATGTTTAATTTATAATTATATTAATATTATTAATATACTTTTAAAAATTATTTAACTATAATCTGTATTCCGCACCGCGTTTTTTTTTACCAATCAAACATTATGCTATACCGCTTATTTCTAAAAACCGCATTTGTTCCGCATACCGCACGTCCCACAGTTGAACCGTACCGCACTATAATACCGCACTTCTCCCGTACCGCAAAACGCAGTTACCATTCGGACCCTGAGCATCAACTTAATAGTTCTATTTGTATTATGAATAATAACTTTATTGTTCCATTTAACCAGGTATATATAAAAAAACTGTTTATAAGTTTGGGCAGTATTCAAAACATCCATCAAAATTCTAAAATTCAAAAAACACTGCAATTTAGGGGGTGTTATTGATTTATTAATTTGTAAATCCATATAGGATTTGGAATTCTCTATTAATTATGGAATCAAAATATATGGATTTTGAAATAACATGTGTTTACCCATGGATTTCAATCCTTCTATTTTTCTCTTTCAATTCCATACAAATTCATTTAAAACATAATTTGGATTCTCAAATCCAAAAATAAATGACTAAACGAATAACATCTGATTTTAACTAGTATTTGTAAATCATAGAACCAATAACACATGATTTTAATTAGGATTTTAAAATCAATGATTGAATAACAAATGATTTTTGTTTGGATTTTTAATTCCTTATAAATCCATGAACCAATAACCCCTCCTTAGATTTGTAAATCCATATAGAATTTGAAAATTTCTATTAATTATGAAATCAAGATATATGGATTTTAAAATAACATGTGTTTACCCATGGATTTGAATCCTTCTATTTTTCTCTTTCAATTCCATTCAAATACATTTAAAACATAATTTGGATTCTCAAATCCAAAAACAAATGACTAAACGAATAACAAAGGATTTTAACTAGTATTTATAATTCATAGAACCAATAACACATGATTTTAATTAGGATTTTACAGTGTTCAAGAAAGCGCTAGGCGCTAAGCGGGCGGTGACCCAGTGCCTAGCGCCTAGAACGCCTAATCGGGGCCTAGGCGATTTTTAGGCGGTTTAGACGTTTATAACATAAAACATTATAAATATAATATTATATATAAAAGTTATATAAATCTTAAAATTATGAAATTATAAACAAAAACTAGATAAAACATTTATTTATATTTATATTAAACAATATATGAATATTTATAACTATATATATATAAATAAAACTCTAATTAAAATTGAAAAAATACATTAAACAAGATTTATGTAATTTTAGGCGGTCAAGGCGGTTATCTAGGCGTCGCATGAGAGCCTAGCGCCTAGTCGGGGCCTAGGCGACCGCCTAGACCGCTTTTTAGAACACTGGGATTTTAAAATCAATGATTGAATAACAAATGATTTTTGTTTGGATTTCTAATTCCTTATAAATCCATGAACCAATAACCCCTCCTAAATTTCGATGTTTGTAAATCCATGTGAAAGAATTGCAGATTGTACGAGCGTCATTGGGCATGTAGTTTAATGAAGGGTATCTACAATATCTGACTACAGAAGACTGAAAAAAAATTAGGTGGACTAATTAATCACTGTTTCTACAATAAAAGAGCTGATGAAGTTACTTTATTATCCTTTTGCACCTTTCTCATCTTCTTTTCTCTCTCTTCATAGCACATCTCATGTGGACGGTGGTGGAGAAAGACACGGAGACAACAACGATGAAGATGATTGTATGTGGCTAACTTTTATGGCAAGAGCAATGGCTAGGTGGCACAAATGAATGTACGTGTTAATGGTTCCGATGGTGGTGGTGATGATTCTATCGGTGGTGGTGATGATTCTATCGGTTGCGGTAACTACGTCGGAGAAAGAGACAATGTCGTGAAGTTAGATCAAATGGAGTGGTGAGTTGAGACGAAGATAGGGACGGAGGAGCTGTGATGATTGAAGATTTGACAGCGGCGGCCAAAAAACTTAATTATGTTGTTTTCTGGGTTTGCCACGTCGGTGACCAGAACTAGAGTAACACCTGTTACTTTTATTGTTATCATGTTAACATCGTTATACACGTTAATATAAATATTATCTATATATCTACTATCTTACCATAAATATTTTCTATGATAATATAAACTTTATCATATCAATTATAAACTTATCGCGATACAATATGTTTTAACACGATATATTTATAAACTTATTGATATATATTTTGTTAACGTGTTAAACCAATAGATAATCATTTAACTCATCATATATTCTTACTCAGATATTTGACGGATAATCTATTTAGAATCGAATAAAAAACATCGATAACTATTTTATTATATTGTTAACTAATTTGTTATATGCGGAGGGGCATTTTTGTCCAATTTACAGAAGTTGAGGAAAGAGAACTAATAATATAAAAATCATGGGTATATTCTTAATTTTTTGGTCAATTGTGGTTTTAAATTAATATAGCCCTTTAATGAAACTAGGAGTTTTCTAAAACAGCATGTAATTTTGTTTTATTTTTAGTGAACTACAGACAGTGTTCTCTGAAAAACGATTGTAAAAAGAAAAGGCTATATTTGTAAATAGTCCTTTTTGGAATTAATAATGGGGAATTGCAGTCTATAGCCAAAAAAAAAATTATAATTCACTCTATAACCATTCTAACCATGAACCGTCGATATTACATGTATTTCATGTATTATAGACAAGTTTACCCTCATTGTATGAGTAACAGTTGCCTACTTTCGCAACCTTGAGAAACACGAACCGTAAAAGTGAAAAGACAAGTCGATGTCTAATCCCGCCAATTAAACGACAACTTCGTCGCGAGAGAAAACAGAGAGTTAGGGTTTCACCGGAATCGACCTTCTGGTTGGGATTCATCTCCGTCGCCGGAATTAGAAGTTTGCTGTCGCCAGATTAGCGGTTGGTCTGTTGTTTCTGAGTAAGTCGAGAGTTGGGATTTCTATAACTGTTGTCGATTGCTCCATATCTATTTCTGACTCAATCTATCGACTTTCTCAGGTGAATAGCCGCGGTGTGCCGGAGGAGTGGAGCCCAATTTCGGAATTATAAAGTCTTAGTTCTCTGCAACTGTGCTCCATCTCTGTTAGATTCAACACACGGTAAGCCTTTCTCCACGAATTCGCCTCTGCAACAGTAATTTCTGGTTGTTTTGTTTTGTAATTCCGATAACTATTGGTCTGTAGTTGGTGAAGAATGGAAGAAGAGCCGTTGCCTAAACGTATGTTCTGTACTGGGTTTGAGCCATCTGGAAGGCATAGGGTGAATAACTACTTTAATCTGCGGTGGATTGAGAACATAAAGCAGGCGCTTTCGGATGCTGATAATGAGCGGTTGTGTAACTCGCAGTTTGGTTCTTTGATGTTGACGGGGAACCACACATTCTCTGTAATGTTTGTGCATTACCTCCTTTCGAGGCAGTTGGTGACCAACAAGAAGTATGAGTTGTGGTGGGTGTTTGCGGGTAAGCCAATTAGATATGCCATTGAGGATTTTGCTCTTGTAACTGGTCTCAATTGTGGGAAGACTGGATTTAAGCCCGATAGGGGCAGGGGAATAGCTGTAAGGAGAGGAGCGCATTTGAAGACTGCTTTGTGGAAATCTCTATTCGGCAATCTTGCTAAGCCTACAACAACATGGATTCTGGAGAAGTTGCTTTTAGGGAAAAAATACAAAGATGATGAGACACGTTTCAGACTTGCGTTGTTGCTTCTGGTGGATGGCATTCTTTGTCCTACTTGTGCAAAGACAAACATCAGTCCAAAGCATGTTGCAATGGTAGGTGATATTGAAGTATTTCTGAAGTATCCATGGGGGCGTGAATCTTTTTTAAAGACTGTTGTGAGTGCAAAGGCGCGGACTGCTAGACAGTTAGTGAATGAGACATGTGCCATTCAAGGTTTCTCTCATGCTCTAGTGGTTGTAACTGTTGCGTGTTGTCCAATGATCATCCGAAGCCCTTCTGTTGGGCTTAACATTCATGATCCTGCAGTTCCAATTAGAGACATTGTTCAGAATGTTATTGAAAGGAGTTTATGTATCAATGTCCACAATGCCCGTATGGTTGATCAAACAGGCCAGGTATGCTTCTCTTTTTATTATTAGACTGTCTGTAGTGTATGAAGCTTCATGTTTACATACTTTTCCATATATCAAAAGTAATACATATGTGTTGCTTTTTCATGTTAGGCCCGAGTTACATCCATTCTGAATGAAGAAAACCAGGAGGAGGTGTTGGATCTGTCCTTCTCTGATGAAGAAGATGATGAAGAAGTAACACATCTTGTTCAGTTGGTGCATGATGACCATCCCTTTGAACATAATACTTGGACTGGTGGTAGGGATGCTGCTGCGATTGAAGCTGAGCCTAGTGAGCCTGTAATGACAGAAGTCGATGGAGAAGATGTGTAGGACGAGGAAGACCCCAGGGCCACTGGAACTGCCCACAATTCAAGTCAGTCTGCTGCTGATGATGGGAGGTATGTATCAGTACATGCGCTTATAAAAGAAACAACAGATGCGGTTGAAGAACGCTATCTCAGGCTTCATCATATTGACAAGATGGAAATGAAGGGGTACATTGATTCTGCAATGTCAGATTTAAAGAAAGACATTGCTGTATTGATTGAAGCTTCTGGTTGTGAATGCAAAAAGAGGATGCCTATTGAAGAAACTGAACCTGAAGGATTTGAGGTTCCTCAGACTGGAGCTGTTGGGGATAAGGTATGTTGCCTTGTTTGCTTATATCTGTCTATTAGTTAGTTCTATTCTACTTGTATTCAGTTTGCTACTGTTTTTAATTACAGAGAGATGTGTATTCATATATGACAACTAATATAATGTTGTTATTTGTGTAAGGAACCCGGATCTGCTGGTTCTTCTAAGAGTCGAAAGAAACCATCGCAGTCTAGTGTTACCCGGAGTAAGAGTAAGACAAATAAGAAGCCTAGGGTTGGAGGCTCAGTAACGCAACTTCCCAGACCTGAGAAGGTATGTTTCTGTTTTTATGTTGTATTGTTTTCGCTGTATTGATTTGTTGTGTGTTTGACTTGGTTGTTTGGGTTCCTAATGTTGTATCCCTTAGGGTATATCTTCCCTAATTCTATACAGATAGTTGAATATGAAATATTATTTGTTGTGTGTTTAACTTGTTTGTTTGGGTTCCCTATGTTGAATCTCTTAGGGTATAGCTTCCCTTTTTCTATTCAAATAGTACAACATGTATTTATTATATGGTGTGTGTTTAATTTGGTTGTTTGGGTTCCTTAGGTTGTATCCCTTAGGGTATAGCATCCCTTATTCTTGTGTTGATTTGTTGGGAATGCCTCACTTATATATGCATAATTACTATTAGTGTTCACTTGCGAGAGAGCTCCTTTCTTTACAACTGAGAGAGCTGTTGTTTGTTTCACCAGGAGCCCCGCAAGAAGGTTGTGGAGGAAGAAGCTGGGGACGCTGAGATGTCTGGATTAGAAGAAATAGCTCCACCTACATTCTCAGTTGGTCTAACCCAGCAAGCAGTGGGTGGACCTATGTTGGCGGAAGAAAATGTATGGGTGAATTTTTATTTCTTTCAATTAAGTCCATATTTAAAAGTGATGAAATTTATGTGTGGTTCAATATGTTTTAGGAACCAGCTGCTGTGTATTCTACGAAGAGTCCCGCTGAGTTAGATGCACCTACTTTTTCTTTAGGATTGACACAAGAAGGTGTTGCCATGAGGACTAATAAGTCAACTGGGAAGCGTAAGGCAGGAGTGGGGAACCCGCAACTTCCAAGCAGACATAGCTTGCGTGTACGTGACAGCATCACAAAGATCTGTGTTGATGCTACGCCTATAGGGCAGGGAAGAAATAAACGACACAGGTCTGGGAAGGAAGATGATTGTGTTGACGTTACCAGGACAAGAGAGATACCTACAGCTATGCTATTTACAGGTGATTTTGATCCATTTACTCCACCTAGTAAAGTGAAGGTGCAAGCTTTTCTTAAGCAGATGGAAAGGTCAACGTAAGTAATACATCTTGAAAATGTCTATTGATGTTTGTTGGTTTACAGTTAATCTAATGTGGATAGTCCATGTGCTTTGCAGCTCTTATGCTGTAGCAGGGGGCATGGTGGTGGATAACATAGAATTTCTCCAAATTTACGAAGCCACAGCTTTTCTTGATGAGTCGGTATGTACTTATTTTGTCATATAATAGACCTATAATTTGATCCATCCATTGTATCACTGAGTATGACTGTTTTTAAATGTAGAGTGCGGATATGTTGGTCAAGTTCATCCAGTTACGTCGTGATAGGACACCTATGCTGCGTTTTGATTTTCTACCATCCACCTTTGTGTCTGAGCTGTACCGGCAGTACAATCGCTTTGTGAGATCGCCAGACAGGAAGATGTTTTCCTTCTCCAATGTATCCATTGCTCCCTTTATTACAAGACCGAAATGGATGCATGAGGTTGATGTTGTCTACATCCCCATGCAAGTTGAGAGACAGCATTGGATCGGTTTGGTCATTGACTTGAAGACGTGGAAGCTTCTTGTCCTTGATTGTAACAGAGGACGCTTGAGTGACCAGCAAATAAGTCAGTATCTTGAACATCTTTCAATTATGCTGCCTTATCTCTTGGCCAGACATGGAATCAATGAGGCTGCCCACAATCCAAGGCTTGACCCTATGTCTATCTTAAGGCCTACCATACCGTTCCACTGTTCTGCTTTGGGTTGGTCTATTTCCTTCTTAGTAAATATTATGTAGACAGAACAGTACAGTAACCAATTTATTTTTGTAATGCAGGTTTGGTTGGGATTGCATCGATTGTTCTTCTTGAGCTGCACGCAGTGTCATCACTGCAAACATATTACAGGGAACTTGACGATGAAAAGATCCAAATTGCAGCAAAACAGTATGCTATTGAAGCATTTGGTGCATTTTCTCCAACTCCTATTGCTCTGTAGACATCTATGTAGTAAAATGGTGCATTTTCTCCAACTCCTATTGCTCTGTAGACTTCTATGTAGTAAAATGGTGGAATTCTTTACTTTTTATCTTATACTCCTAGTATCAAATCTTTGGATTGGATGTTGTTTACTGTTTAATTATTGTAAACTTATTTGGATGATTTGCTACTATGTTAAAAAGTATTTGATGTTTCCTTGAGAAGTTGCTATATAGTTCTAGTAGTCTCTATAATATTTAGATTTAGGTTAATTGTGGTTTGTTTTTGTTATGTTCAGAATTGATAATCAAACTTTTAGTCAACATATAATTAAAATCCAAAATACTATTTAGGCATCAAAATAACATTAAACCATTTCTGGGTTTATAATATATTACAATCTTCAAAACATGGTGTTCTTGGGCATCACAACCTTATTTACAACACTGCATAGAGATAGATAGATAAGCGTATCATCCAAAATACTATGGTATATACTATGACAGGATATACCAGAGTATTTTGTGATAGCTTTGGACTATACAGCCACTGCATATATACATCATCGCATCTATACTTGATGCGGTAACCATTATTTTGCCCACTCCAAAAACCTTCTTTGGAACACCTTCATTAAAACCCATGGTTGTTGCTAATGCTTATATAGCATTTTTACAGGAAGCCTTGTTGTGGCATGGGCGACAACAACGGGAACACCTCCTGTTAGACTGTTGACGAGGGCGCTGCATTAAAATACAAAACATTGTGTTAGGAATATCTGATGATGATAAATAGAATAGACTTATTAAGTAAATAGAATAGAATCATACCTTGAATTCCCCCTTAGATTTGATCCGAATCTTCTTAGGCCTGCCCGGTGGACGTCGCACAAAAGGAGGATTAAGATCCCCTACAGTACCAGACGCATTATCGGGTCCCCCGACAGATGGAATAGGATAAATCTTCTCGGCATAAGAAAGTCGAAGCGTGTGTTCAAAGTATGCCGGTGCTACAAAGTTATCCACGCTCATTCCAATGCTTGTTGCTGCTGCTATCACATGGGCACATGGAATGCTAAGGCTCTGGAATTCATTACAGGTACAAGTCCCGTCAACTAGTTTAACTGTGAAACATTCACCACTTGTTATTTGAACTTGAAATTCGAACTCGCTTATTGGCCTTACTGACATGGCCATTGCCAGCTCAAAATTAGCTTCTACTAAGCTGCGAACTTTGGGAGCTAAGGTGGTTTGTGACCGTGCAGCCCTGGCTCTACGGAAAGCGAACCAATCCATAAGAGTTGTACGAATGTATTCAAGCATGCATATCAATGGATAGTCTCTAGCTTCTTTCAGTACACTATTCCAGGATTCGGCGATGTTGCTGTCTATTATGTTGTACCGCTTTCCCATAGAATGGACCCTTGTCCAATGAGAGAATCCTACATAATCATTAGCAACACTCATTAAGCAGTACAACTCTTATATATTTTAAAATAGTGTAACCTATGTTAACGAGATAAATATATATCTTTAAGTCATCATACCCCTTGAATATATATAACCATGATCTGTAATATAATGACCTACCTATGTCAACAAGATATGCAGCACATCCTGGGCTTAGCTTTTGAATTTGGAGGAAATTTTTGTTGAAGTCATCAACTACATAGGCTCTGGCTGCAGCTGACATTAAACCAGCTAGGGTTTGGAGCTTGTACAAGTGCTTTACATTCCTCAACAGATGAACAGTACAGGCAGCATGATTCGCGTCCGTGTAAACCTGAAAGCCAAATTATAATGCCCATTAGTTAACTTACATAGCCAAACAGAGGTTAATATTTTGTAAATTTCTATCTGTGAAATTGGTTAATCATTTATACCTTCCTTAAACCGCTGTAAATGCTAGAATGGCGGTCTGATATGAAAACCAACTCGGTTGTGTCAGGGACAAATACGTTTAACCGCCTAAAGAACCACTCCCATGCTTCATCATTCTCACTATTAACGACAGCATATGCTAAGGGAAAAACCTGAAAATTGCCGTCTTGGCAACTAGCAGACAGTAAGCATCCTCCATATCGCCCTTTCATTGATGTCCCGTCGACCACAATGACCTTCCTCATGTATTGATAACCTTTCACGGATGCAGCCAATGCTATGAACTGGTATTTAAAACGTGTAGGACCTTTTGGATCATCAGAATGGGCCGAAAAACAAAGTGATCCAGGATTAGTTTGCTGAAGCAAAGCGATGTATGCCGGTAACAGAGCATAACTTCCAGCCATAGAACCCATAGACTTTTCCATTGCAATCTCCCTTGCACGCCATGCTTTCCAATAAGAAATGTTGATGTGGAAATCATCTAGCAGAAACTTGCGAATGACGGCAGCATTGGGACCTCTTTTGATATTCACAAATCGAGATTGCATAATCTCACCTATAACCTGTGTTGTAGCTAACCTGTGGTAGCTACGCCTCTCATCAACCGTGCATGTGTGCGTCAGTTTGGCTTGACGGATTTGGAAGTTCTCAGATGCATCCACTTTTGCTGCATAAACCCGCCATGGGCAGGTTTTTGAAATACACTTCAAGACCATGAACTTAGGAGTTGACCTACTGGTGCGAAAATGGAACTTCCTGTTGATTGCGTGAATAGCAATCTTCAGCTTGCAATCCGCTTTTGACTTAAACACACGTCCGACAAACAGCTTGTCTCCTTCATAGTTTATATCCGCCAAAGCAGTTTCAACATCTACACAATTAGATAATAATGTTAGGTAGTGAAAACATTGACATTAAAAATGGATGTACTATGTAGACATATATGTATGTTTTAAAAGTTTCTTTTGTACCTGCACCTTTTCCATCATTAAAGACAGGAGGTGCATCGCGACAGAACAAGGCCGGATCATCACTCTTGTCTAGTAGCATCTTGTTCAATGCCTCTTGAACTCGTCCCCACATCACACATGGAACATGTTCTGCTCCATTTCCATCACCGTCAATGCTCCCAGTTGATTCAGAATCTGAAACAGGGCTTCGTACAGCTACCCGTGACGAATTGATAGTGTCATTCACCCTTGCTTGGCTACATTCAACTCTGGAGGGTATATCTGGCTGTGAAAATAGAACAATTTGATTCTCCTGCTCGTCATCACTATCAACTTCTGTAGGATTTGGAGCCTCCTGCAGTACTCCTTTGCCTTTATCACCAGGTTTACAAGCAGGACCAGCAGGGCGAATTGTAGGTTCTGTTTCTCGGATAGTTATGCCTCCTGCAGTTGTTGGGACAGAGCATAATCTAATTGTCTCACCTTCAACAATAGGTCCTTCTTGTGGTGATGTTGTGTGTTCGCTAAGTGCAAAATCATGCCAGTCGGCATCATATTCATCCTCTGAAGAGTCTCCATCACTGTTTGGTGAAACGTAATGCAGCCAGTGCTTCTCCCTCCTCTTTGGCTGAGCCTCTTGGGATGTTATTTTCTTCACCACAGTGACACACAGGTTAACCTCTTCAATGAAACGCCTCATTCTGATGAAAACTTCAACATCCTTATCTTCACATATGTACTGTGGCGAGGATCCGTTGCCTTCGTCTATTTCCATCCATGACGGGTACTGGTATGACATTTTTATAACGACGTCATGTGCTCGGAGTCCCAGCTTCTCTTTAACTTTGCTTGCAAGCTCTTTGTATGTCATGGAGTCCCGCAGGCGAAGGAACCGGTTCCCCTCCACCGTTGTAGGTTCAAAGTTCCAGATAAATGAATCCACCTTCACCCATTCTCCAATAACGAGTAGAACATGATCCTGAGCCGTCATCTACAAAGACAAAACAGAGTAAATATTTTTTAGGTTATATAGTATGCTGTTTGGATTACACATAACTTATGATATTAGTACAAAGCTTTACCGCATAAAGAAAATTAGGTTTGGTTAGCAGATCAATAAAAATGGAAACTATATCATTGTTTACTTGTTTGTAAAGGCAGATCTGTGTAAAAGCTAAGTATATATATGAGTTCTTAAATGGTCTGCAGCAATAAATTCCATACTATGTTTAGAACAAGAATAAAAGGAATCTAGAATCTATGCTTTTTACCTGACTATTTCGATGCCTTGAATTTACTGTCCAACTACTTTCCCCATCATCCATTCTTTTTGCAGATGGAGATAGTACTCTGCAAGTAAAAAGAGCCTCACTAGTCTATTTAATAACTGCAGTACAAGATCTCAGCCGCACATCTTCCTCGGGGGAATTTAAAATTCAAAAGAAGTAAGTTTTATCGCATGGTTAAGTTACTGATTGGACAAATTGTGCAACTTGGCAGGTTACTATAAGCCTACTTTTGTAGACCAGACACGTCGACCTTCTTTTTACCAGGAAGATAGCGCGTGTCACGTACGGAGGCTACTCAGGTAATATCCACAGGCCCAATGGTTATTCTCTTTGTTTTGGGCTTTAGTGTGCTATATTCTTAATTTTCGGTTTGAAATTGGTCACTCACCTAATTGCCCCATTAATAATTAGAAACTTCTTTTTTGACAGAAAAAAATGCTATCTGTATCTTAGGTTATACATTATACATAGTGTGGTTAGTATAATTAACACTATGATTTATTTAATTATAGAAGCAAGGGTTTAAGGCTAAAATCAGTGCGTGCGTCTTCAAGCGATGGCCACAATCTTCTTCTGCTTTAGCTTTCCTTCTCAGGCAGACCCACTTGCTTGAAACAAGCTCGGTGCGATAACGACAAAATTCGCCACCATAAACCCTATTTTTAATCTCCGACTCTGTGGACACTTCTCCTTCAAGCTGGGTAGATTAAGTTCCCTTATAGCCATGGGGGTTTCTCTTACTTCCCACAATAACCCTCTTCTTCGCCACTTATCTCCTTCCTCTTCCTGGGTTTCTCGTTCCTCCTCTCGCTTCTCTTCTTCTCCACTCCCTTCCTTCCTCTTTCCTTGCCGTCGAACCCTTCTTCAAAGGTTTGCACTTTTTTCATCTTTCATTGTTTTTAGTTAATGGGTTCGTTGAGACTACACTATGCTCTGTTCTATGCTCAATTTTACTTGATTTTCACTTAATTTGCTCTGTTGTATACTCAATTTTACTTTTTATTGACTAATTTGCTCTGTTCCAGCGTCAATTTTACTTGATTATCGATTAAGCTGCTCTGTTCTAGGCTCAGTTTTACTTGATTGTGGATTAAGTTTCTCTGTTCTAGGCTCAGTTTTACTTGATTGTAGATTAATTTGCTCTGTTCTAAGCTCATTTTGTTGTTGAGTATCGGATTAAGATGCTTTGTTCTAGGCTCAGTTTGTCCTTGTAGGGTTTCTTTTGTTTTGCAAGCTCTGATTGTGACTGCTTGTGAATTTCTTCAGGAAATTATCTTCCACAGAGGGAAATGTCGGTTATTCGACTACTACAGTTTGTCAGGGATTTCAGCATTCCGGTCATCAACGGTCATCTTCTGTTGTGTTTAACGGAGAGTGGGAACTTCGATCCGAATCTAACAAGGTAAGGATGGTTCCTAAGATAGTCAAGGTGGGAAATCAGACGGAAGTTGCTGAAACTCATCAAGTTCCTGGAACTGTAAGTGCTTGGAGGGAAGAAGCAAATAAGCTTAGAGAAAGAAATGGTCAGATTGCAAGAAACCTCGATGACAGTGGTTTTTTTAATGGCTCTGTCCCAGTTATATCTAGTGCTCCGTCTTATGAAACCTCTCAGAAGATTGATTATGAGTTCAAACCCAGAGGTAACACTACTGCTACACTCAATAAGGAATTGATTGGCGTTACCCAATCTGAACCTGTTGTGTCATTGCCAAGAAAGAGTTTAGATGTTGGGGATAATATGGATGTAAATCCTAAAGGAGAGGGAAAACAGAGACCTCTTATAAGCGGGAAGTCTTCTGGTACCGCAAACGGCAACAAGAATACAGTTGCCATTTCCAAAGTGGAGAAAAGCACTGAACCTTCCATTGTCCGTGAAAACCTTAGGAAAATATATGACAAGGTTCTCGTTGTTGATAATGTGCAAGCTGCGAAAGATACCGTGGCTAAGCTCGTGAATCAGTATAGGAATCATGTCCATTCTTGTGATACAGAGGTGTGCTACATTTTTCTATTTAAGTTGTCATCCCTAAAGCTCAGAAATATTTATACAATTGGCAAACTGATTATTCAATGCTTATAGGTGTCCGGGATTGAGGTGAAGGAAGAAACGCCTGTCGACCACGGTGAATTAATATGTTTCAGTATTTACTGTGGGCCAGAAGCAGATTTTGGGTATGGAAAATCGTGCATCTGGGTTGATGTTCTTGGTGAAAATGGCAGGGAGGTGTTGGCCGAGTTTAAACCGTATTTTGAAGACTCGTTCAGCAGAAAAGTAAGTTTTAAATCTTTCCCTTTCTTAATGTAAACCACACCTTGATTGTTTCTACATATTCCGTTACATTTTCATTTTCTGAGTCCTTCTAAATCTTATTCCACTTTCTTGTTGTCTGTTTTACTGTGAACACTTTTAGCTATCCATAAACCCTTATAGGTTGGCTTTCTTCGTTTCAGGTCTGGCACAACTACAGTTTCGATAGCCACATCATTAGGAACCATGGAATTGAGATTTCTGGTTTTCATGCCGACACTATGCACATGGCACGATTATGGGATTCTGCACGACGGATAGAGGGTGGTTATTCGCTTGAAGCGCTTACAAGTGACCCAAAAGTTCTTGGGGGCACACAGACGAAGGAGGAAGCTGATTTCCTTGGTAAAATTTCGATGAAGACTATTTTTGGCAAACGGAAACTAAAAAAAGATGGATCTGAAGGGAAAATGGTTGTCATTCCCCCTGTCGAAGAGCTTCAGCGAGAAGATCGAGAGGCTTGGATTTCATATTCTGCCTTGGATGCGATAAGCACACTAAAGCTTTACGAGAGCATGACAAAGAAACTGCAACTGATGGATTGGCGTCTTGATGGAAAGCCAGTTTTAGAAAGGACAATGTTGGATTTTTACCATGAGTTCTGGCGACCCTTTGGTGAACTTCTTGTAAAAATGGAAGCAGAAGGGATACTTGTAGATAGAGAGTATCTTGCTGAGATAGAGAAAGTAGCCAAAGCCGAACAACAAGTTGCTGGTAGTAGGTTTCGTAATTGGGCATCTAAGTATTGCCCCGATGCAAAGTATATGAATATTGGCAGTGACACACAATTGCGTCAGCTCTTTTTTGGTGGCATTTCCAACAGGTATCTTTCTTCTACGTCATCCTTAAATTTCTGCTAAGTATAGGTTTAAATTGAAGTTATCGTAGGGAAAATAGTCATACCTTGGTATCTTAGAGGTTCTTTCTTAGTTACAGAGATTTGAGCTTATAATCCTCTTATATCAAAAGTTGTTGAAGACTGTCTTTTTTTTTCTCTTGGTTTAGCCAGAACTGCATACATAGCTCCCGGAATAACTTTGAGAAGAAATGTCTTTCCCATCAAGTCATTAACAAGAATTACATGATTAATCTGTCAGTGCTTAGCTTTATGGATTAACTTCTGTTTGCTTCTTCCTCAGTGTGAATGGCGAGGTGCTTCCAGTTGAGAAGCTCTTCAAAATTCCCAATATTGATAAGGTTATTGAAGTAGGCAAAAAAACAGCGACGAAGTTTCGAAACATCAAACTGCATAGGATAAGTGACAGCCCACTGTCAACTGAAAATTTAACTGCCAGTGGTTGGCCCTCTATAAGTGGGGATGTTTTGAAAGAGTTAGCTGGGAAAGTTTCCGCTGAATACGACTTTATGGAAGATGTGTCAGATATTTCTCTGGAAGAAGTTGCTGAGGATGATGATGCAGATCAAACTTCAAAAACACAAAAGTCCAAGACAGATGTTCAAACCGACACATCCGCTTATGGAATAGCATATGTTGCCTTCGGAGGGGGTGAAAGGGGAAAGGAGGCATGTCATGCTATTGCGTCATTATGTGAAGTTTGCTCAATAGATGCTTTGATCTCAAATTTTATTCTTCCGTTACAGGTAATGTTTTGTCTTGACACCTTCTTCCTGAATTCTAAGCTGCTTTATTTCTTCCCCTTAAGGTTGATGTTTATGGAAATTTTTTTTCTGACAGGGAAGTAATGTATCAGGCAAAGATGGTCGCGTCCATTGCTCCCTGAATATCAATACAGAAACTGGGCGCTTATCAGCTAGAAGGCCAAATTTGCAGGTATATATCGAAAAGATTTGTGATATTGTTCAAATCAAAGTCATTTCAACATTTGAGTGGTGAGGCCATTATGTAAGCTAAGTTCCTCTTGTTATCTACTGGTATTGTTAAAGTGACACAGTTTGATTTGAATTATGTGATGTGTTACCAAGAGCTAGTACATAATATCATTTTAAATGGTCAAGTTATTTTTGTCAACTATGAATATACTACTTATGCTCTTGTAATTGCATCTACGATTTGTTACTAAAGTTCTTCTTATCTGTCTAGAACCAACCTGCTTTGGAGAAGGATCGGTACAAGATTCGTAAGGCCTTTGTAGCATCACCTGGAAATACACTCGTTGTGGCTGATTATGGGCAGGTGAAAATATAAAACTCTGGTAGTTGTAGAAACTTTCATAATGGTATTAAGCTGGTTCACTTGTTTACTGTGATTCTTTTCTATCTTCAGTTGGAACTTAGAATTCTGGCACATCTTACTGGTTGTAAAAGCATGATGGAAGCTTTTAAAGCAGGCGGAGATTTCCACTCAAGGACAGCCATGAATATGTATCCACATATTCGTGAAGCTGTAGAAAATGGGCAAGTGATCCTTGAATGGCATCCACAACCTGGGGAAGACAAGCCACCTGTGCCGTTGTTAAAGGTGCGCTCTTGTTTAAAATGGTACCACAATTCTTGGATTTTGATTCTTATATGACAATGAGGAAATAATTTGAATAGCTAAAACAACAATTGACATCTCTACTCGATGATTAAAGCACAT